TGTGTGTGTGTGTGTGTGTGTGTGTGTGTGTTTGTGTGTGTGCGGGTGTGTTTGTGTGTGGGCCGGCGCGAGGTGGTGTTGATGTGTGTGGTGTGGCATGTTTGCATGTGGCAATTTTGTGTCATGTGTGGTGTGTGTGGGGCGTGCTGCTACGTGCATGCGTGCGGGCGGGCGGGCGTGCGTGCGTGCGTGCGTGCGTGCGGGCTGTGTGTGTGTGTGTGTGTGTGTGTGTGTGTGTGTGTGTGGGTGTGTGGGTGGGTGGGTGGGTGCGTGCGTGCGTGCGGGCGGGCAGGTGTGGGTGGCGCGTGTGGCGCGTGTGGGGCGTGTGGCATGTGTGGCGTGTGTACATGGCGTGTGTACATGGCGTGTGTACATTGCGTGTGCATGGCATGTGTACATGGCGTGTGTACATGGCGTGCGTGGCGTGTGTGGCGTGCGGGCTGTGTGTGGCGTGTGTGGGGTGTGGGGGCTGCGTGGGGTGTATGTGGTGGTGTGTGGTGTGTGGTGCGTGTGGTGGGTGTGGGTGTGGGTGTGGGTGTGGGTGTGGGTGTGGGTGTGGGTGTGGGTGTGGGTGTGGGTGTGGGGGTGTGTGTGTGTGTGTGTGTGTGTGTGTGTGTGTGTGTGTGTGTGTGTGTGTGTTCGTGGGGTGGGTGTGGTGTTCGTGGTGTGGGTGTGGTGTTCGTGGTGTGTGTGTGTGTGTGTGTGTGTGTGTGTGTGTGTGTGTGTGTGTGTGTGTGTGTGTGTGTGTGTGTGTGTGTGTGTGTGTGTGTGTGTGTGGTGTGTGTGTGTGTGTGTGTGTGTGTGTGTGTGTGTGTGTGTGTGTGTGTGTGTGTGTGTGTGTGTGTGCTGTGTGTGTGTGTGTGTGTGTGTGTGTGTGTGTGTGTGTGTGTGTGTGTGTGTGTGTGTGTGTGTGTGTGTGTGTGTGTGTGTGTGTGTGGTGTGTGTGTGTGTGTGTGTGTGTGTGTGTGTGTGTGTGTGTGTGTGTGTGTGTGTGTGTGTGTGTGTGTGTGTGTGTGTGTGTGTGTCTGCGCGTGTCTTATTTTAGGGTCCTTTTGGAGAGGTTTTAGACGGCCAAGCGCAGAAAGGAAGGACAGAGGTAGAGTCAGCTAGAGAGAGGAGGGAATGAAGCCGAGATTCCACCAAAACACGATGCGCACGGAACCCAGATACAGGACTATAGCCCAAGCTATGAGCCGCATAAACTCAAACCGTAATATATGTAGTATGGTAGAGCCTTGCAGCCCCTGAAGAGCAGCCCCTGAAGAGCCTAAATCCAAGATTTGCTAAACCTGCAGGCTGGCACGCCTGCGCCGGGCCCACAGGGGGCGCTTTGGCGCGGGCCTGAGGATTCGGCCAGGCGCAGCAGATTCCACCAAAACACGATGCGCACGGAACCCCGATACAGGACTGTAGCCCCAAGTTATGAGATAAGCCGCAAAATCTCAAAACGTAGTATGGTAGAGCCTTGCAGCCCCTGAAGAGCAGCCCCTGAAAAGCCTACATCCTAGATTTTCAAAACCTGCAGGCGCCGGGCCCGCAGGTACTATAGCCCCAAGCTATGAGACAAGCCTCATAAATTCAAAACGTAGTATGGTAGAGCCTTGCAGCCCCTGAAGAGCCTACATCCTAGATTTTCTAAACCTGCAGGCTGGCACGCCTGCGCCGGGCCCGCAGGGGCGCCTTGGCACGGGCCTGCGGATTCGGCTAGGCGCAGCCGAGATTCCACCAAAACACGATGCGCCCGGAACCGCGATATACAGGACCACAGCCCCAAGCTATGAGACAAGCCTCATAAACTCAAAACGTAGTATGTAGAGCCTTGCAGCCACTGAAGAGCCTAAATCCTACCGGGCCCGCAAGGGGGCGCTTTGGCGCAGGCCTGAGGATTCGGCTAGACGCAGCCGAGATTCACCAAAACACGATGCGCACGGAACCCCGATACAGGACGATAGCCCCTGAAGAGCCTAAATCCTAGATCTTCTAAACCTGCAGGCTGGCGCGCCTGTGCCGGGCGCGCAGGCGGCGCGATGGCCAGGGCCTGAGGATTCGGCTAGGCTCAGAAAGGAAGAACAGAGGAGAGTCAGGTAGAGAGAGGAGGGAATGAAGCCGAGATTCCACCAAAACACGATGCGCACGGAACCCCGATACAGGACTATGGCCCAAGCTATGAGATAAGCCTCGTAAACTCAAAACATAGTATGGAACAGCCTTGCAGCCCTGAAGAGCCAAAATCCTCCTGTGGAGTCGCTTGCGGGAGCCTTTCATTTCGGATACATCACCCAAGATGAATCCCAACGATGCAAAGCTCTTCCCCTGGCCTGCACGGTGGGGGGTTCAAGGGTGCAAGGCCCACCCGCCGAAAAACAAGCAAGCAGGAACGCAGCAAACTTCTATACCGATGAGGTTCAGCATGGTGCTCGCCTATGATATGAAAGGCCAAACCCGCAGCATCCCCTCAACCTTTATCCCAAACCAACAATGCCTCAAAACCACCTATGGAAACCCTACAAGCCCTAAAAGCCCAGCTCCTACACCCTACTCCCGTTTCGGGTTTAGGGTTGGTTCAGGGGTCTCACCGTTTATGGGCCACGAAGTTGATGACCAAGGCGGCTATTGCTATAAGTGGGCCGCTAGCCTTGTTTAGAACTACTTCTAGCCCAAGATTACAGATTTTGGAGCCCAATTTCAGGGCATGCCAAAAGAGTTGGTCAGAAAGCTCAAAAGAGAAAGCAACAATCAGGACTCTCAGACGCTGGAAGTGCAAAACCTTGCAAAATGACATTAGGCTAACAGCTGGCCTCCACAGCCAGTCTACGCAGCAACCCTCCGAAACAGGGACCTCCTCCTCGAGGTCGAGGAGTTGCATGTGCTGGCCCCAGGCCTGGGATTTTCCATCTCGACAATTTTCAAAAGCTTCAAACGTTCAAGTTTGCCGTACGGGGAGAGATTCCTAGTGTTTGACTCGGCCGGACGTTTGGCCCGAGAAATAAAAACGTCTTGAAACACTTGAAGCTGCGTTACGAGTTTCAAGTGTTTCTGATCATGCCCCTTTTGGTCAGAGAGCAGGCTTCCTAGAGCAGGTTCGGGCTGAGGATGTAGCCAAGCCAGGCTCACTACAAACTCAAAGCTCAACAACCTGTGCGCAAAGCAATGTCTTCATAACTACTCAGGCTTTATGGCTGTCATAGCTGTTGAAGGGTTCGGCAAATCACTGGCGCCAATTCCTTGTTGTGGCTTTCATCGCTGTTGACGAGTTCGGGAAAGCTGTTCTTTCTAGCTTTTGGCTTTGAAATCCACTGGCGCCAACCCCTGTATGGCTGCTTGGCTGTTGCATAGCTGTTGGTCGGGGGGAGGGGGGAGGGTCAACACCCAGAAAAACACATGATAACACATGCTCTTGGAGCCCGGTGGCCTTGACGACGTCCCATTGTGCCTGCAAGGTCGAAAGGCGCTTCTTAGAAGAGAAAAGGAATCATTGAGCTCGTGTCCCCATGAAGCCCAGGTCCAGGCTAGCGGATCTAGCGTTTAAAGGGATTTTATGGGATATGGTCGACTCCCGCAAGGTTTACCTGTAACCCCCAAGCACGGGCCTGGAAATTAGTAATGCGGAACCCTTCATGGGGAAAAGCCTCTCGTGTGACAGCTGTGGGACTTCTTGGGACTGGGTGTCGTGAACTCCCACAGGTCCCCTCGACCTGTGGGACGAAAGCCGGTGCCTCGATGTTCCACCTCCAATTGCCTCGAGCAGGCGAGGTGGGCTTGAGGTCTTCGGGGCCTTTGTGCCCTACCTTAACCTCCCAAAAACGTTCTTGTAGCAGCGACACCATACAACCGAGGGTCTGGAAGGGCAAAAAACACGTAACGACATTGTTACATGGTCCATGGCGCGTAGGTGTTTAGGCACATTGCATGAGTGAACGCACAGACCCTGTGCACTGCTGTGTACAATGGATTCGGCATTTGGGTCCCCGAAAAAGCTTGTTTTTTGAAGGCCAAAAATTTGCAGAAAAACTACTTTCGCAAGAGACAGATCAGGAGGGCGTGTGCGGCTGTTGGGTCGCCAAACTGGGGAACCAGGACATAAAGATTGCGCATTGCCAGCTGCACAGTCCTCCGACTTCGTCCTGACCTTCGACGGGAAGAGTGACAACTTCCAGGGCACGGGCTTCGCGAAGCACGCGAAGAAGTCCGTGTGGCCGTCCGCGACGTCTTTCCCAGCAATCCCTGGCAACCAGATGATCTTGCGAAGGCCCAGGAGTGCCTCCATCGACCTCGAGCCCTCCCCGCATTCCAGGACGAGCGAAGAAGTCGAAGAAGTGACCAGCTCCACGCCTGCAAGATCGGCCATGGCCTCGGCCACACGGTTGTCCAAAGAATGCGCCTGCTCGTTGCCCCAGCCATTGAAGTTGAACTTCACCGCCCGTAGATCTTCGGCTTCGTTGACGAAAACAGGGTCCCCCCGTGCCTCGGACGATCCTTAGGTGAAACCAGAATCTTGACAGGTTCGTACTTGGCAATCGTTTTTGCGATCTGGCCAAGGTCCTTCATGGTCCTTCATCGACGGAGGGCGCCAGGTCGGAGCCCCAGATTGTTCTTGGACGCCCTGAAGACCAAGTGGCCGCATGCCCCTCAGACTCTGGCATACAGAAGCTTGCCATGGGGACTTCAGGAGCACAAGTGCTGCCCATCCTTTGGGACCCCAATTTGGGAACCCTCATGAGGAGCCCTTCATACAAGGGCCGCCAGCTGAAAGCTCGTGTACTGATCCGCAGGTGGCCATAGGCGTAGACATGTGGAGGGTTTAAGAGGATCTTGTTGAGTTCATAGGGTTTATGTACAGGTGTTTAGGGTTTAGGGCATATGCGGCTTTGGGCATCAAGAAATCTCTTCTCTCCACCAATCCACAGCCCCCGCGTTTTTAGGGGGAGGGGGCACTCCGAAGACTCTGAACTGCCTGCGTGCAGCATCCTGAAACTGATGTTCGTCCCCAAATCGCGTGCCTAAACTCCCAAAGCTCCGACTGCAGCACACCTTGAGGATCTCGAGGAACGCCAGAGGCGGACGATGTGGACGAACCTGCCCGAAAGGTCGGAAGCAAAAGAAGCCCCTCACCACACTTTTGCAAGGAGAATGAAGTAAACTTACTACTTCCTAACCCCTGTACTTCAACCCTCAACTCTGAACCGTTTCACCCAGAGCCGCCTAAACGACAGCAACGCCCTTCGCCTGCGCCCTGAACCTGAGCCCAATACCCTGGCACCCGAACTATCCTGGTTGTAACCCATACCTGGACCTAGTCACTGACGTCTTCCCCACTGCCGCGGCACCTGCTGTGGGTTCACTCTCAGCTGCCGCGTTCGTGACCTCTCCGGCAGCTGCACTCAGCTGTGTAGAGATCCATCTCATTGGTCAAGGATGAGGGCCCCGATTTGCAGTTGAAGAGCTCAGACGTCACGTTCAGGGCGATGTCTTTGATTCTTGGGGCACAGCACAAACTCAAAAAAGGCTCGGCGTCCCTTCAACATGCTCTCAACACAGCAACTTCTTGAAACCCTCGATTCAGCCCATGTCAGCCCCCCTCATCTCCAAAGCAAGGCCGTCACAAAAAAAAACATCCCCGAGTTTCTGGCACACACTCACACGTGACTGACTGACGTTTGCACCCCTACCCCAGACCCTGGGCGGCACAGCCAGCATCCAGGGGGTCTGAGGCTACCGCTCCGAGTACAACACGTTTTGACCGCGAGGTCCCATGGCCTGCAAAGGCACTGACTTCAAGAGTACTTCAAGATCAACTTCCTCGGCGTACAGACCCATGAATCCGGGATGCGCCTTCAGCATCGGGGAGAAATGAAGACTTGGAGAGAAGGGCGAGACACAGCGGTCCAGCTAGCGGTCAACGGAGCCCAAATGGTCTACATATGCACATGTGTACAAAGCGCAGGCTGCATGCATGTGTCTCAATTGCTTCAGATGTCTGAAGTAGGCTCCAGCTACTGTAGACTCCTGCAAACTCGGCCTACCCGGCAGGAGGATGAATGGCACAGGACCGTATAGGAGGAGGGTCTGTACTATGGCGTCTCTTGCATCCCTTCGCCCCGCAGCTATGCGCTGCAGCCCGCAAAGCCTATTTTTACCCAAACGATTGCGCAGCCTTCTGAGCAACGTTCTTCTCGCAACGTCAGCTTAAACAACGCGGTCACACTTTCAGCTCCTGTCAATTTCATGTCAATTTTTTCGTGTTGAGGCAATCGTGCCGAGGCAAGTTGCAGCTTTCAAGTTGTTGGTTCTGGGCCTAGTTTCGTTTCAAAATTCGTGGCTGTAAGGCATAATTGCGTCACCGTGACGTTGCAGTTTGCTGGTTTTGAGTTTAGCTTGGTTTCAAACTTGTGGCGTTGAGGCATAATCGCGTCTGAGTTTCGTTTCAAGTAGTTGGTTTTGAGCTTAGTTTCGTTTCAACTTTTTGGTTCTGAAGCATCATGGCGCCTTAGGCTCGGACCTGCTATGAAATTAGCTGCTCTGGTCTCGCATCACAGCCGCGGCCGTGGCGAGGTGGGTTGCGTAGCATCAAAGTTAGCTCTATGGCTCTATGCCCGGCTATGCCCTCAATGATTGTAATCACCAAGCGATGCTCAAGGCAATTTGTGATGCCAGTCCTGCAAGTGAACTCGTCGGCATGGCGGCAGCGCGACCAGCAAATCCCGTGTTTGCATGCCTGCACAACGCCGGCATCGTTGCGCAACCGAGTGCAGGGCATTTCGAAACACCACTTGAACAGTCTAGAAATGAGGTGAGTTTACAAAATGAGGTGAGCGAGTGAGCATGGGCAAGTGGCTGAGTGCAAGTGATTGAAGGCAAGAGTGCAAGTGTGACTGAGTGAGTGAGGACGTGCAACCTGGGGCACCAGGCTGAAAGCCCGGACCCGACCGTTACAGCAAGCCCCAAAAAACCACGGAGCCTGGCGATCCATCTATGAAGAGACACAGCCCAAAGCTTTCGGGTCAAAAACACTTTTCACGATCCGGACAAGCGTTTGCCGCGCGGGCGTGGTGTCCGCGACCGCGCTTCCTTTGCCTTTGCTGCCTGCAACTTGGCAATCAACCCACTGGCCATCCAAGGAATTGTGATGGTAGTTGTCCAACACGCGCAATGCAGAGTCCCCTTCCTTGAAGGTCACGAATGCGAAGCCTTTGCAAAGGCCATCCGCCGCCAACTTCAGTTGCACATCCACCACGTCCCCAAATTGCCTGAAGCACGCCGCAATGGACTCGCGCGTGGCCGTTCTTGGCAATGAACCCACAAAAAGCGTGGCACCCTTTCCTGTGCCTTTGCCAGCTGCCATGACGACTCATGACGACGAGCGTCCGGCGCTGAAAGCTTGAGCCAGATTGAGCCATGACAGTTTGATGTGCGACAAAGCTGCTGGATCTCTGATGTCTGACTGACTGGTTGACCCCCCGCTTTGTGCATTAGGCCTCCTCCTTCAAAGCCGAACACCTTGGCGAATGAACGTGGCCACTGATGACTACTGTCACATGTTTCGATTCGTGATGCCTGTGCGCTGCCGTATGCTTCGCAATCCTTCTTCACTTAGAGGTGTCCGGCCTGTGAGCCAACCACAGGTTTGCCGTGGCCTCCGGTTCCACAGTGTGCTCTGATTCTGTTCGTGGAGATATTCGGAGCTATGCGAAGTGCGAGTCAATGATTACACTGATTACACGCACCAGAGCTCGTGCTGTGAAGTTCAATACGAGTATGCTCGAGACCTTCTCGCGGCGCGGGCTGCAAGAGCCGCACGAGGCTCGTCAACCTGGCAATGCACAGTCGAACCACATGCATCGCTTCATTCGCATCTTTCCGAGGTGGGAGTTCAGAATCATGCCGGGAGTTTGTTACTTTTGTGATGCACCACGCTACAGCTCCAGATCGTGCAGAGCAAAATCTAGCAGCCGCACCTAGCCTGAAGCAGAGTAAGGCAGCGGGCTTTCGTACGAAGACACGATGGCCGACGGTGACAGCGTGTGCAGAAAAGCCGAATACGAGCGCGCTGTCCAAGGTCCTGCTACGAACCCAAAAGGACACAGGCCGACACACTTAAAGTAGAACATGAACGTTCAAGCCCAAAAGCAGCTTCTAAGTCTGACACTCATCCACAGAGGCTAATTTCTAGACCGCATCCAAGAACAAGCGCTATGCTGGTGGTCGCACGTTTATGTTACCATGTCAGGTTCAGGTCCTCATATGTCTTACCACTGTTTGCGGACAGAGTTCCAAGGAGGACCTCGCCGGCGCTATCCTGATGTTGATTGAAATTGAAATTCAATAGCGGAATGCTTAGAGAAAACCTGCACTCAAATTGTCGGGGTTCTCTAACCCGACATTTTAACTCTAAACCCTAAATCGCAATAACCTACATGGTACATCTCCTGAACCCCACGTTGATGCTGTCTATGGGGCAGGTGATCGCATCTGCTATGATTCTGGATCAGAGATGGGCATATGGAGTTCAAAGTGACAGGGGCCAGCACAAGACCCTGAAGTTACGGCCAGGCTTTGAGTCTGTCATGATCTTTAATAGGGTCAGAATCCTCAGGCACGACTGGCCCCCGACAAATTGCCCGGCACATGTGAGCGCAGGAACAGCTCGTCTCACATGGCTTCATTGCTGTGGCATGAAGCGTTGCGATGGGCTAGCTACGTTTTCGCTTCTTAGGACCGCAGCAATCCTGATTAAGGGGGACTCCACATAGGAGGGCTAGATCATAGGAGAAGGAGACCTCGGGCAACCTTAACCCAATGGCCCAATCGGCTTCGGGCATTTGACATAAAGCCCGAAGAATATCAAAGCCAACATCCTATGTCGTGGAGTCCCCCACTCTTCTGGATGGGTTTCTGGGTTCAAAGGACAACAAATGTGATACCGCCTCAAACACTACTTTTACCTTCGCCTGCTGCTGCCGTTGGCGAGAACAGGGTCTCCTCTGGAAGAAACTAAACCGCATTTTTGGTTGAACCGAAAGATTAAGTTGTTCTGTTCAAGAGGCCGGAACCAAAAGAGCAGATCAACTGAATCTGTAAGGGAGACCCCCGCGTCTCTTTGCAACATGCTACACTACGTGACATGATGGAGTCATCGACAGCGCGCCCTTCTCCGAGTCAGGCAAGCTGCATCGACCAAACGGGCTTCATGAGCAACCTTTTGCAAACGAGTGGGAGCTCCAAGTTACGAGGTTTCGGGCTCTAGTTAAGCTACAGTGGTTGAAAAGGGGAACATATACGGGTGTACAGCAAATAGGACTCAGGGGTGAGGGTTTCATCCAAAATCAAGCGTGAAGGAAACTCGAACATGGAGTGAGAACTGGGAGGATGTAGTGATGGGTTTAGGGTTTAGGGTCGAGGTAAGCATGAAACGAAGGAATTGCCTAGGTACTGTAAATCATAAACCATGAGGCTGCTACAAAGCGACTGCGTTTGATTTGCCTGGCTAAGGTATGGGTAGCGGCGTACACCGGGCCCTTTTGGGGGGATTAGCTGTCCGAAATGGTCAAGCGCAAAAATTGGGATCCTTGAGACCCGCTTCACGAACTATAGCTGAACTCCCAGCGCCGAAGGGCCTAAACTTCCCCGAAAGCCGTAAGGTTCTTAGCTTCCCGGACAGATAGTAAAGAACGTGTAAAGACGTTCATGTGAGTACAAGGACTGAAAGCCTAAATCGAAACACCCAACCCGTCAATCCTAAAGCCGGTGTTAGGACATGAAATGCAAGGATGCATTCTCTTTAAGGAATGGTTGTGGAAGACGAGGCTAAAGATATGTGTGCTCTGCAAAATGCTCCGCCTGCCGGATGCGGGGGAGCACTTCTGATGAAGGATGAGCGGCCTGCACGGAGACTCCCGAAGATGGGGAGCTTGGGACAACCTATTTTCACAAGTGATGCGCCAATCTCGATAGTTATCAAAACGCCGGTCCTACATGTGTCAATGTAGGCCTTTAAGATGGAGATTCTCAGGACCAGCCTGTCTTCGGCCCCTCCTCCTGTCGCAAGCTAGCCTGCCATGCAAAGGGTCATCGAAATGAGCTGTGTCCAATACCCAAAAGCTTGCCAGATCGGCCGTACCATCGTGCCTTTCATGAAGGTAACGAGAAGTGGTACCAATGCGGGTTCTGAGCACGATTCTGGGTGTTGGGCTTCGGGACTCCGCGCACTTCTCGATTTGTGGTTTCGAGGTTGGGGTGCTCAGATGTTCTTACCTCGTGCATTGCTAGGTCAGCCGTCGTCAGAACCACCAGCATAATCATCTTCATCGTCATCGTCATCGTCATCATCATCATCATCATCATCATCATCATCATCATCATCATCGCCACCCTGGCTATCACCATGAGCATAAAGCTCGCCATTATCATGATCACCACCAACGTCATCCCTAAGCCGGTCTGCTAAACGAAATGTTCGTTCAGGTTCCACTCATCAGACCCATATATAACCGCAATAGGGTTCAGGACCCAACCCTTTTCGCCTACATCCCACACCCCACAGCCGACACGAGACCCCAAACACCGAAACCCGAAGCGAAGCCAACCCCGCAACCGGAAGCTAAGCCGAAGGCCCTGAAATCCATGCTTCCTCGTAAGTCCTGGCAATTCCTCCACCCTCGACCTTGAATAAGTCCTCCTACTGCAACCCGTACTAGACCCAAGAATCAAAAGTCCGAAAACTGATCATCTTGCCACTGCCTCTGCAGCAACAGGCATCCTGAGCTTTCATGTCAAGTACAACAGTTGGCACAAGCAAGCACCATGTTCCACAACTCGCAGACAGCCAAGTCATGCTACATACGTTGTTCAGCGCAGTGGCGGTGAAGCCGCGGTGGATCGTCGCCTTGGCACTTTACATCGTGGGACCACAGATGGAGAACCCTCAGGCTGAACATGTTCACACATTGAGATAAGCGCCCTCAACGCTAAGCCAGCCTGTACACCCGACTTGGGAGTACACCGCATTACCGTATCCTGTTTTCTACACGCCTAACAATTCCCTTCCTCTCTGGTTCACAAGACAATGTGAATATATCCAAAAAAAGCTGCGGTAGTTGCTGTGTGAGGAAGCTTCACAAGTGTATAGGGCTCAGGGCCCCGGGGTTAGGGTTTCGGATCAAGCCAGTAGTAAAACAAAGTATTCGGAGACCCATGGTCAGGTGGACGTTGTTGGGACTTGCGCCGTTCTGGCGTAAGGTGATCGCCATTAAATGAGACTAATGGTGCTGCAGTAGGAAAACTCGCAAAACCTGCTCGCCGCTCCGAATCTCCCTGTGTTTTCGCTCCAACTGCCCCAGTAAGTTGTTTTTTTGCTAAGGAAACTAACTTGTACATCTGTTTTTCATGAACGATTTAAAGGAAGCCCGCAAGCTCGCGGAACTGCAAACACTCGCAAAAGAGCCGCGAGCGAAACCACAGATCTGCCATTCACGCTAAGGTCGGCACTAGGAAACAGGTAAACCAGCTGGCCTGTCTGGCAGAGCACCATTTTTGGGTCAATGGATAGAACAAAACATCTAGTCCACAAGGCAACCTCGACACAGACTTCTTCGCAGGCTGGAACTCTGGCACTCTGACATGCTGACCACTAGCACAACTCAACACCCAAGACTGCTACTGCTACGGCCCTGGCTACCATCACCACCGCCATAATTGCTTGGAGCTGGTAAAGTTCAACAACACCTAAAGATTAATAGTTGTACGTGCCGAAACAACCAGTACGAGGACGACGATAACGACCAGTAGCACATACCACCACCAACACCCTACTCGTGCTACTGCGACTCAAGCCAACACAACCTGACCCCTTGCAAGTGCAGCCTCAGCAGATGCGGTTGCGGGAACATCTGCCTGCCAAGCTTGGTACATGTTCCTACACTACAGCCCGGTAACGACCCGCCTCCGGGATTTCCTGCTCCCTCACTGCTTCTTGGACTTGCGGAGTCTCGACGATCTGGGGCGGCCTGGAGATAGTCGAGGCCAAGTGTGCGCATGAAGGCTACTTAGCAAACAGGCCTAAGGTCCCAAAGCTGCCGAAGTACTTGTAGTCATAGGTGTTCATTTGCGGGGGCTTGAAGTGCGTATTCTATCGCACTCATCATCCCTCCCTTACTGAAAAGGCGGCATATACAGCTGTTTTTCTTGTTGCAGTTCAAATCTTTCACCTTGTACTATGCTTGCAAGAGAACCACATCTTCAAAACACACACACACACACACACACACACACACACACACACCCACACACGCACACACGCACGCACGCACGCACGCACGCACGCACGCACGCACGCACGCACGCACG